GTCCCTCAGCTCTTCAGCTCAAGGCGAGCGCTCTACCACTTGAGCTACAGCGCCACTTCCGGTTTTCTGGTGGTTTATTGGAGATAGGAGTCTCACGGTCTCTCCTGCCCGGGCTGGCTTTGAACCGCGATCCTCAGATCTCAGCCTCCGGAGTAGCTAGGATTACAGGCGTGAGCCACCAGTGCCCGGCTTCATGAGACTCTTATCTCCAGTTAATGACCAAAAAAGCCAGAGTGGAGCTGTGTCTCAAGTGGTAGAGCAGCAGCCTTGAGGGAAAAAAATGCTCAGAGACATTACCCAGGCACACACACACACACACACACACACACACACACACACACACAAAGTTATTTTAATTAATTTTTGGTTTTGGGTTGCCAATAGCTACAGCAAAGTTCAGTGCCTTGAGCTTTTAAGTGTATTGTATGTTTTGGTTTTTTTGTTTGTTTGTTTTGGTGCTGGTACTGTGGCTTGAAGTCACGGCCTGGGTGCTATCCCTCAGCTTTTCCCCTCAAGTCTGGTTCTCTACCACTTGAGCTAGAGCTCTACCTTCAGCTCTTAACTAGTTAACTAGAAACTGGAGTCCTAGGTTTCTCTCCTCTATCTGGCTTCCAATCTTGAGTATCAGATCTCAGCCTCCTGATTGTAGGCAAGAGGCACCTGTGCCTGGCTAATTATTGTAATTTTTTTTTAAATCACCAAATCCTCTTCACAGAGATAATCCTTATACTGACTTTGTAAGGTTGTAGAACTCAGCTCAAGTTCTAAATGAGGAAACTGAGGCCCAGAGAGGCTTACTGACTTGTACCTTAAGGCAACTACTAAGTGCTATAGCTCGGAGATCCAAATCTCGGTCTTCTAACTCCAAGTCTGAAGTCTGTTCTGTTTTCCAATATGATGAGCTATCCCACATTCAGGAACTGTGGAGTTGGAGTCCAAAAATGGCCCAATGAGCTAAATCTACTTCCTCTCTCTATTTGTAGGTTGGCTCAAATACACTGAGTAGCAAAGAAGAAAATGTCTGAAAGCTTTGAAATAGTCTGACAAAAAGTGTTAGAAAGCCGGGCACCAGTGGCTCATGCCTGTAATCCTAGCTACTTAGGAGGCTGAGACCTGAGGATCATGGTTCAAAGCCAGCCTGGGCAGGAAAATCCTTGAGACTCTTATCTCCAATAAACTACTAGAAAACTGGAAGTGGTGCTGAGGCTCAAGTGGTAGAGTGCTTGCCTTGAGCTAAAGAGTGCAGGGAGAGCGCCCAGGCCCAGTATTCAAGCCCCAAAGTGCTAGAAGGCTACAGGTTGTTTTAGGTCTGAACTGGAATATCAGCTTAGCCTTGGGAGGATTGAGAATATGATGCTCAAGGGCCCCAGCACAGGTAGACTAAACCCCCATTCAGCCTCATTTCTGTGTTTGGGCCCCCTTGGAGCTTTAATTCTTGCCTTTTTTAGCTACAGATCCCTTGGGGAGAAAAACACAAGGACTATCCCTCCCACCTTATTCTTGATGGCCATGATGGGGAACCTTCCAGCTGGCAGTGATGGGCCCTGAGGGAATCTGAGGCTGGGCAAAGGGCCCAGCGTGTCAGTTTCCATCACAGCCACACAGCCCAGCATGAGTCACCACACACAGAGCCAGGTGAGTCATGCAGGCTGACCGACACTCTGAGGACAGGACAAGAGGTGGCTGGGCCCAGGAAACTGGAAAGGGGCTAGAGAGAGGTAAAGAGTCCATTTTCTGGCCAGTCATGCAGTGAGGTTGGCTTCTAGTGCTGACGTAGGACTATTCTGGTGAGAGGCTCCCTATTCCATTCTAACTTTCAGTTGCCTCCTATCCCTCCCGAAAAGTCCTCTTCTCAGCCCACAGTCCTCTAAACATTGGCAAGACCCCGCTTTAACATGACCACTTTTTGCTTTGTCCTGGATGGTAAGAGGCCTGCTGATGCTTCCCCTACCAAACTTATCTATCTCTGTGCCATCTTCTTGCAGCGAGGAACCTAGGTTACCTTTTCAAGATTGCTACTCCATTACTGGACTTGGAGTTAAAAACAACAACAACAAAAAACCTTGGTTAGCCAGATGATGGTGGCTCACACCTGTAATGCTAAGATCTGAGGATCATGGTTCAAAGCTAGCAGGAAAGTCTGTGAGACTCTTATCTCCAATTAGTCACCAGTAAAACAAAAAGTGGAGCTAGTGCTCAAGGCACTAGCCTTGAGCAAAAGAGCTCAGGCACTGAGTTCAAGCCCTTCCCCCCTCAAAAAAATAAATAAAACAAAACAAAAACCCTTGGTTGATATATTGTTTGGGGAGTCACACATAACAAATGATAAGAAAAACAAATGAGTGAGGAAAAAACTCAGCAAAGTAGTAATCCCTTGGAATATATGAATTTGGAAGAGATGAACAAAGAGGTCCTTAAGGTGGTTACTGATTCTGAATTACTCAGTTTTAGTATTGTTTAAATTGCAGATGCTTGTGTATTTTACAATAAAAATACTACACAAGGCCAGGCACTGATGAGACTCTTATTTTTTGTTGTTGTTGTTGGTTGTGGGGCTTGAATTCTAGGCCTGGGTGCTGTCCCTGAGCTTTTCACTCAAGGCGATTGCTCTACTACTTGAGTCAAAGCGCCACTTCCGGTTTTCTGGTGGTTTATTGGAGATCAGAGTCTCACCGACTTTCCTACCTGGGCTGGCTTTGTACTGTGATCCTCGGATCTCAGCCTCCTGAGTAGCTAGGATTACAGGTGTGAGCCACCAGCGCCCAGCTCCATGAGATTCTTATCTCCAATTAACCACCAGAAAACTGGAAGTGGCACTGTGGCTCAAGTGGGAGAGTGCTCGCCTTGAGCTGAAGAGCTCAGGGACAGTGCCCAGGCCCAGAGTTCAAGCCCCATGACTGACAAAAAAAAAAAAATTCTACACAGAAAATAAACTTGAGGGCTGGGAAGGTGGCTCAGTGGTAGAGCACTTGCCTTGCATGCCTGAGGGCCTGGGTTCGATTCCTCAGCACCACATAAGCAAAAAGAAAAAGCCGGAAATGGCACTGTGGCTCAAGTAGTAGAGTGCTAGCCTTGAGCTGAAGAGCTGAGGGACATCGCCCAGGCCCAGAGTTCAGGCCCCATGACCGGACCAAAAAAACAAAGCAAAAAAAAAAAAAAGAAAGAAAATAAACTGGAGTAAGAGTCTTAGTTTCAGCACTTATTGTGTTAATGTGGAGTCAAGTGATTCTAACTCACAGACCTTTGAGGTCTGTAGTTGAGGAGTAGTTATGACACAATGTCTACAAAAGTGCTTTGCAGGGGCTGGGAAGGTGGCTCAGTGGTAGAGCGCCTGCCTTGCACATAAGCAAAAGAAAAAAGCCAGAAGTGGCGCTGTGGCTCAAGTGGTAGAGCACTAGCCTTGAGCTGAAGGGCTGAGGGACAGTGCTCAGGCCCAGAGTTCAGGCCCCACAACTGGACCAAAAAAAAAAGTGCTTTGCAGACAGGTGATGGTGGCTCACAGTTGTAATCCTAGCTAATCGGGAAGCTGAGCTATGAGGATCACCGTTCCAAACTAGTCAGGGCAGGAAAGCCCATAAAACTCATCACCAATTAACTACCAAGAAGCTAGAAGTAGAACTGTGGCTAAAGTGGTAGAGTGCTAACCTTGAGCAAAAAAGCTCGGGGACAATGCCCAGGCTCTAGGACTAAGGCAGGGTAAATTAGGAAAAATGAGGCCTGGTGAAGGCAATTCAGAAACTAGGTAATTAAAATCAGAAGCACCATTTATGTTCCAAAGAAAAACAACAGGAAAACAACAGGATGCATTCCTTTCAGAGAGATGCATTTCTCACCCAAAGAGTTAATATTTGCTTGGCAAGATGTATGCTTTCCTGAGAGAAATGCTCCCCCAAAATGTAAGCAACCTCCTACTCAAAATGTAGACACCAGGATGCCTTTCTTATCTCAAGGATAAGCCTCCATTTTATGACAGGATGTATTCTTTTGGGACGAAATGGCCAAAACATTCAGAAACAGAAAGTGTTATAATACCAATGTGATTTTGAGCAAAGACAAACTTCTATCTTTTCCTATCTTTAAGTCAGACCCCCTACCTTTACCATATAAAGATTCCTGACATCCAAAGAACTGTATCTCTCTCTCCCTTTGAGAGCACTCACAGAGCGTGAGTGCTTGTCTATCTGATTGCCTGCTTATTCAATAAATCTCTGCCAAGTTTTCTTAACATTATGACTTTTCCAGAAATTCCTATTCTGTGATTGAAGTCAAGAACCCTAAGTGAAGAGTCTACTTGTAAAGAGAAACTTCACTAACCTTCACCTGCATTTTGTGACGATTGGTGTGTGTGTGTACCTGTGTGCGTGCTCACACACACAAAGTGCTTTGCATACTATAAAATGTTGGGGGAGAATTTGTTAATTTTCAATTTGGGGCCTCTTGGGGCAATGCCTGTAATTTATTTATTTGGGGCTTGAACTCTGGGCCTGGGCGCTGTCCTTGTGCTTGCTCTTCAGCTCAAGGCAAGGCTCTACCGCTTGAGCCACAGCACCACTTCCGGTTTTCTAGTGGTTTCTTGGAGATAAGAGTCTCACAGACTTTGCTGCCCGGGCTGGCTTTGAACCGTGATCCTAGATCTTAGCCTCCTGAGTAGCTAGGATTACAGGCGTGAGCCACCGGCGCCCGGCTTATTTATTTTATTATTATTTTTTTGTCGGTCGTGGGGCTTGAACTCTGAGCTTGGGCGCTGTCCCTCAGGTCTTCAGCTCAGGTGAGCGCTCTACCGCTTGAACCACAGCGCCACTCCCATGCCTGTATTTTAAAGGATGGATTGCTCAACCCTTTAAATTAGCCTTAGGAACTCACCGTCCCAAACACACAGATTGGGATAAGTGACGGCCAACCCTTGCAAGAGGCTGAATAGAGCAGGAAATGAAATGAATGCTCCCTGACTCCCAAATCAGCCTGTTCTGGTCCTATCCTAGTCCCAGAGACACACTCACCAGCTGTCAGGACCTGGACTTTCCACGGGTGCGCAGCTAGGGCCCTCTGGTATGCCCGCCAGAGTGCCATGCTTCCTGTCAAGCCAAAAGGAGAGGGTCACTCCCACGGCCCCTGTGCAGACAAAACCACGCCTGACTTTCCCTGGTGCTCACCCTTTCTTCCTCTCTCCACTTCCTTGTGGGAAGGACAGAGGCCTCACGAGGGACGCTCCCCGGACAGAATCCTGCCACTGGGCCACCTCAGACAACTGGGGAAGGATGTGGGCAGCTGTGGACCCCGGTGGCAGCGGCCTGCGACCTCCAGTCCTCAGCTGGGCTGAGGCTTCCGGTGCCAGAAGGGACTCCAGCCTCCACCTAGAGCTTGGGTTCCCCGAAAATGATAGCAGTCATTCTCTACATTCAGCCTCGGTTGGAACTAAATCATATGCTTCCTGAGTGCAACCCTGCACTAGAAACAGCCCGTCACCGCCAGGCCCGGCAACAGCCACAGCAATGGCAAGGGGTCGGACGCCGAGCGCTGCAAGCCGGCCAGCACACATCACCCGTCACTCACCTGAGGCCGAGCTGGGCCCGGCCTAGCCCCGCCCACGTGACCGGAGCTGGGCCACAGACTTCCGACTCAAACCCCGCCCCTTCCCCCGGCTGCGGCCCGAGGCCGCGGGTCGCTGGGGCCCAGGCGTGGCGGCACCCCGACCGCTGCCGCCGGGTCCCGCCCGGGCCCATTCTGTGGGCTCTGCCAAGCCTTGGCCCAGCAGTCAGACCGCCCAGTTCTCCTCTCCCCGAGGTAGCCAAGGACCTCATGTCCTTTTAATCTGTCCTGGGCTTGTGTACTTTTATTTTGCGGATCTCTGGGTTGGCCTCAATTGTAAGCTCCGGAGTTGGAGCTAGGTCTTCATGTTTTTACCCTAAGTAGTGCGGTGCTTTGCCCACAAGTCATCTTTAGACATGCTCTATGTGCGCTGTGGGCCTGCAGAAGTGAGCTTAGGAACTGGCTGGGTAATGGGCCGCACAGCCCTGGTCACTGGACTAGAACTGAAGTGTCCTTGGCTCCCTTGATGCCACTGATTAGATCTGTCAGTAGACTAGATGATTTTTTTTTTTTTTTAGGCAGAGGGGCAAGGCCTGGGACTGAATAAGCAGACTAATGCCCTTTGAACTGTAATATCTACTATTCTAATATAGGATGGTGGGAATTTATAATTATCTCCTACAGCTGGCTCTTTAGGCTGGCAGGAGCCTAAGACTTCCAAGTTCTCTACCTGTCCACCTCCAGCCCGTTACTCAATTCCTGTATGATTAAGGCAGGGAGAATCCTGCCACAAAAACTGGAGAATGAGTAAGGGTGGAGGAGAATCCAGTCACAGCATTTAACTAAAAGGTTCTTAGATTCAAATTACCATGCTAGGTTACCAAGGAATTTCAACAGGAGACCAAATAGAGGCTGGAAAACTTGTATTTTTGTCAAATTTTGAATGCAAATCCCAGCACCAGTACTTGGTTATTATTTTTTTGACCAGTCCTTGGGCTTGAACTCAGGGCCTGGACACTATCCCTGAGCTTCTTTTGCTCAGCTAGCACTTTACCCACAGCACCACTCCTGGTTTTTCTGTTTATGTGGTACTGGGGAATGGAACCCAGGGCTTAATGCATGTTAGACAAGCGCTCTACCACATTCCCAGCCTATTATGCAAATCAGCACAAATCCGGTCATCAGTGGTGTAGCACCTGGCTCCTCTTCACAGGCTGTGGTTCCTCTGCTTCCAGTAGACCTGGGCCACCTCCAGGTCTGCTTCCTCCTTAGTAACAGAAGGGGACTGAACTACTTGAAATTCTTTTTGTGAGTGTGTGTGCCAACACTGGGGCTTGAACTCAGGGCCTTGTGCTAGTGCTTGTTGCTGGAGCTACCGCACTTGAGCCACACCTCCAATTCCACGTTTTTGCTTACTAATTAGAGATGTTTCTCTTGGATTTGTCTGTCCAAGTTGGCTCTAAACTACCTTCTTCACATCTTAGCCAGTTGAGTAGCTAGGATTATAGGAGTGAGCCAGCAGTGTCCAACTTTTGTTTCTTCATTTCTTAAAGGTTTTCTGACATGATAAGTTTGCCTACACACGCAGAAAGATTTTTCTCAGATACCTGAACCAGCAAACTAATTTGAATCCATTCCAAGAGGGAGCTGGCTGCTTGGTTTTCCATTTCCTAGTAAGCTCCAATCCTTCCTCCAAGCTTCAGCTTGTACTCCTGTGTAGACCAAGGCTGGAGTGTGCCTGTGCTTTAGAAAGCCGCATTGTATTGTACTGTAGACAATGAGTGTGTAGCATCCCATTAGAGCACTCTTATCAAGACAACAATATACTACATTATTGTACTTCAGTTCTGAACACCTCCTATAGAGTTTAAATAAACATGTTTAATAAGTCAACAATGTGACCATATCATAAAGGATCAAAAATCATGACGTGTAAAAGAATGGTTCAAATAACTGAAGATATTTAATCTAGAGGATAAAAAGACTTGGGAAACACATGATAGCTATTGTTAACTACTTAAAAGGGTAGTCACAGGGAAGAATAACTAGGTTTCCTAATACCCATGAGTAAAATTAATAAAGGTATATTCTAACTTGATATAAAAGAAGTTTGTTTTATGAGACAGGGTCTCATTATATAGCTCAGGCTGGCCTTGAATTCATGATCCTCCTGCCTCAGCCTCCCAAATGCTGGGAATTAAAGGCATGTACCATCATGCCCAGCTTTAAAGAAAGGTTTTCAAAAACTCTTCTAAGAGTGTTCAAGTATGGTCAATTGACCAGTGATTGGGAATATTTCATAAGCAGGAGCAAGTAAGAGCTAAGCCACTATTCTATTGGTAGGGTGTTTGCTGTATTCCTCAAAGTACTATAAGCAGCTTCAGTCCGATTAATTACTGCCACCACTTTTGGGCCTGTGTGTTGGTTCCTCTGAAGAGGAAGTTTAGGAAGGCAGTAACACTGGATCCTGAAAAAGGAGCCTTCAAATCGATACCCTTTCTGATTCTCCAAACACCCACTCACAAGTGGTCTCAAAAACACCCAGTACCTTTACTTAGCTTTACCCACTTCACAATATGCTCAATATGAGCAATTTGACTCCCAAGCCTAGGTCAGGCCTGAGTGTTTCTTGTGAGCCATCATTTTAGGTAAAGAAATTCACTGTAGTGAGAGAGCCCCCCTACCCGCAGGAGGCTATGAAGTCTGTGGAAGGACAGGAACTTAAGGAGTCCTGGGGAGGTAGGCCTAAAAATCCAGGCCTGGCACCATCACTGTCCAGGAAGGGCCCAGTTCCTATGGCTCTGTGCATGGAGACCATTTGTTCTTGGCAGACTTCATTTCAAGGGTCCTGTGTGGACTAAGACTAGGGATTGGGCAGAAAGCAATGGCTGGCTGGAGGAAAACTCAGCCCTTCTGTTGGAAAAGATGGTTGGAACATAGCACTGAAGTGGGTTTGGCTCTCAAGCTGTAAACGGTGGCCCAATGGGGAGGTGAGTCCACGGATAAAATGGATCCGAACCAGCCCTGACTGCCCCCCAGATACCAGCCATCCATAGGAGTCCAGGTTTGGGCTGAAACGTACCTGTGCAAAGAAATGGAAAACCAAAGAGAAGATTAGAAGTCATGTTTTAGGTTTACTCCTAGTTGCATAAACAAAAATAGATTACAATCTTAAGAGGATAGAACCATAAGGTGAGAGAGATAGAAATGAAAAGCCAATGAGTGAAGTATATCTTATGCTACAGGAGTTGGCAAAGTTGTTTTCCTCCTTAGCCATCTGTTCCTTTTCATCTCACATATCATTGGTGACAAGTTCAGAGTTGGGAGAAAATGAGAATGGGGGGAGAGATGAGACAAGATTCACCTTATGAATAGCTTCAAGCTGCAGCCTATCCAGGCAAAGCTGAGCATGCCCTTCGCCTTCCTGCATACGCAACATTGGTTCTCTACGGAGCAGATTGTGGAAGGAACCCTGGGAAGCAGAAGGGAGAGAAAGCAAGTAGCTTTAGTTTTGCAACTCTGCCCTCAAACTCCTTAGAATTTCCTACTACACAGGACTAAAGATTTCCACCTTTTCTAATTAATATCACACTCAGTCTCCTCGCCTTGACTTACCAAATCTGTGTCCTGAAAAAGCAAGTAGTGATGGTTGATAGTTTCAGCGTATGTTTTAGCTTTGGGAGGGTTGGGAGTCCCAGATGAAGCAGAAGTATATTCTTGTTCTTCAGAACTGTCCTGATATGGGATCAGATCTGCTTTATATATAGGCTACAAGGGAGACGATGAAATTAGGTTTTATAATACTAAAAGTGAAAACATAAGAGGAAATCGGAAAAACATAGAGGAAATTGGCTTGGGGCAGCAAAATCTTAATGAGTAAGACCTCAAGACCCTGAATTTTTGTTTTGTGCCAGTACTGGGGCTTGAAATAAACAAAAACCATACTCAGTGGTAATATGGAACTGGGTGCTGGTGGCTTATGCCTGTAATTCTAGCTAATACTTAGGAGGCTGAGATCTGAGGACTGCCATTACAAGCTAGCCAGGGCAAGAAAGTCTGTGAGACTCTCATCTCCAGTACACTACCAAAAGAACTGGAAGTGGAACTGTGGTTCAAGTGGTAGATCACTAACCTTAAGCAGAAAAGCTCAGGGACAGTTCTAACACTCGGACCGGCACACACATACACAAAAAGTCCAATAGTAATATGTAGGGAATATTATGCCAAAACCAGGAGCTAGTGGCTTACTCCAGTTACTAGGAGATTACACTGTGAGGATCAAGGTTCAAAGCCAATGTAAGCATAAATCAGTCCAAAGGACTCCAAGACCACAAAGGCTTGAGCGGAAGCCCCAGTACTGGTGTACACACACATGTATACACACACACACACACACACACACACAAATGCTATGGTGTCTTTCACAGACAATATTGGGGCTAGAAACCTGAGTACTAATCTGCACTCCACCAGGAATTGGCCAGGACATTGGATTAGGATGTAACAAATGGTATTGCCGTTAGATGTTCATATACGTACGAATCTTCTCTCTGCAGGTTTCTTGACATTTACTGGATTCGATGCCATATCAGGCAATATAGCTGCTATGAGCTCCCCAGATATATCTCCAGCAGCTACTGTCCCAAGCCAGTCAGATCCTGAAAGACTCTAATAAAGAAAGACAGATTAATGCCAGGCACTGGTGGCTTATGCCTGTAATCCTAGCTACTCAGGAGGCTGAGATCTGAGGACTGCGGTTCAAAGCCAGACCTGGCAGGAAAGTCCTTGAGACTAGTATCTTCAATAAACCACTAGAAAACTGGAAGTGGCACTGTGGCTTAAGCAGTAGAGCCCTCGCTTTGAGCTGAAGAGCACAGGGACAGCGCCTAGGCCCAGAGTTCAAGCCCCATGACTGACGAAAGGAAGAAAGAAAAAAGAAGGAAAGAAAGAAAAAAAGGAAGAAAGAAAGAAAGATTACTCATTCATTTCTGTGAACTGATAATGCCTGCAGTCTGAGGGTAAAAGGGTACAAATAAAAATGAGGGGGGGGGCAAAAAAAATGAGTGTTTTGGTTGAACACCAGTGGCTCATACCTGTAATTCTAGTTACTCTAAAGGCAAGAACTACCTAGGTTTGAAGCCAGCCCAGAAAGAAGAATCCTTATGAGACACTTATCTTCAATTAGCCAAGGAGAGGGGGGAGGGGGGAAGGTGGCGTGCTGGGAAGAGGCTGAAATATGAGGATTGTGGTCTTAAGCCAGCCTGGGCAGTAAAATCCATGAGAATCTTATCTCCAATTAACTACCAAAAATCTATTTTTTTTGGGGGGGGGTCCAGTCGTGGGGCCTGAACTCTGGGCCTGGGTGCTGTCCATAGGCTCTTTACCTCAAGGCTAGTGCTCTACCACTTGAGCCACAGTGCCACTTCCAGCTTTTTCTTCCTGCTTATGTGGTGCTGAGGAATCGAACCCAGGGCCTCATGCATGCAAGGCAAGTGTTCTACCACTGAGCCACCTTCCCAGTCCCAACTACCAAAACTCTTAAAAGGAGCTGTGGCTCAAGTAGTAGAGTACTGCCTTTGAGCAGAAATGCTCAGGTACAACACTCAGGCCCTGAGTTCAAGCCTAAGAACTGGCACATAAAAACAAACAAAACCCCCAGCAAAAAGTCACAAGAGGTATGGCTCAACAGAAAGAATGCCAGCCATGAGCAAAACAAACCTGTGTAAAGTGAGAAAAGGGATGACGCTGTATGAACGGATATATATTCATTACCTGACTTATGTAACTGCAGTCCCTTAGTGCATCACCTTTACAATAACAATTATAAAGTAAATAGTTTTTTTAGTATATGTTTTTACCGTAAAAATACTGTACAGAGGGGTTACAGTTACATGAGTAAGGTAATGAGTACAGTTCCCATTGAGCAGTTACCTCCCCTTTGTCTTTCTCCCCACCATTCCTTCCCTCCCCACCTCTCCACTTTCCCTCCTTTCCTCCCCATCCCCTGCCGAAGTTGTAAAGTTCGTCTTCAACATAGTGTCTTGTACATCTCATTGTTACAATGGGTCGAGCTGTATCCTTATTTAAGCATTTTGTTATTTCCCTTCCCCTCCCCAAATTAGAAAAATGTATATACAAGATGCAGGGTATTGGAATCAATTACAGTGAAATGGGTTATACCGTGACAGAAGAACATACCAAAGAAACAAAAAAATCACATAGTACATTATAAATACGTTAAAAGAAAGAAAAAAACCACTTGTGTCCCTATCTTGGGGTTCATTTCACTTAACATCATCTTATATGGTCAAATGTAATTTTTTTTTTTTTTTGTCGGTCGTGGGGCTTGAACTCTGGGCCTGGGCACTGTCCCTCAGCTCTTCAGCTCAAGGCGAGCGCTCTACCACTTGAGCTACAACGCCACTTCCGGTTTTCTGGTGGTTTATTGGAGATAGGAGTCTCACGGTCTCTCCTGCCCGGGCTGGCTTTGAACTGGGATCCTCAGATCTCAGCTGGTGGCGTGAGCCACCAGCGCCCGGCTGTAAATTTTTTTTTTTTTAAATAAAAGCTGCATGACAGTGCCAGAGTTCAGTACCAAAAAAGCCCAGAAAGTTTCCCGTAACCTATGTCCCTGATGATATAGTTATGATGCACCTGCCTTCTCCTTCTACCCAAACACCAACCACCTGTTCCTGACTACCATTATAGAGTAAATGGCATTTCCCTGTGTAATGGAGATTGTGGAAGAGAGGCTCACCCAAACAGTGCCTTTTCGAGGAGCAGTGAAGTAGGCCTTGAAACCAAGGTAACCAGCATCAATATAATGAATTCCACAGAGTCCATATCTGTATGAAAACAATAAATAAAATTTTGTTTTCTAAGATCAAATAGATTTTTTCCCCCAAATCCTTTCAGAATTCAAACCCTGTCAACCTTCATCTTCCCACAATCTGGATGCTTCGCATCCCCACCCTTAGGACCCTTCCCCAGGGCTGCCATCTCCATCTTGCCGTACGAGGCATAGCAGTTGTCCTGAGCCACAGTGACACCATTGTAGGGGAGCAGCCAGGACAGCTCTGTACTCAAGAAGCGCTTGATACAGTTTATTGGCTCATAAGGTCGCCGAAGATCCCAGAATTTGATTTTCCGGTCACTCCCCGCAGAGACTAGGAAATGACTGAAAAGATGCAAGACCAAATCAGTAGCAAATTTGAACAGTCTGTTCTAGTTTCACCTTCACTCTCCACAGATCTTACTTCATACCTGTTAGCTTTGCACCATTGAATTGTACGCACAGCCTCATCATGGGCTAGGAAACAATGGAAGGGGTAGAGCTTTAAGGAGCCATCAGAAAGCCGTATCCTCTGCAGGGGTGAGTTAGTGGGAAGGTTCCAGAAAACCACCATGCCTGAAATAGAGACAGAATGCATAGACATTAAAGGCTGGTTCTTGATTTCTTTTCTTCCTCTGGGCTCTTAGGACCTTTATTTTCCTTCTACTCTCAGATCCAAACTACAGTGGAAGACTGTGGGGATCATGACTAGCTATTCTTAGTCCTGTATGGTTTAAATTCATTACCTGACATTTTCGCCCCAGTTCTTATCAACCAAAAAGTAATGGCTTAGTTTTGGATTTGCAGTTTAAAGGTATCTGGTTGAATGCACTGGCCTCTTACTCCCAAAATCAAAATAAAGGTATTAAAAAATCCAAAATGCTGGGTGTCAGTGGCTCTTATCTATAATCCTAGCTACCCATGAAGCTGGGGTCTGAGGATTAAGGTTCAAAGCCAGCCTGGATAGAAAAGTCCCCCTGACATTCTTATCTCCAATAACCTACTCAAAAAAGCCAGAAATGGCACTGTGGCTCAAGTGGTAAAGCACTAACCTTGAGCACAAAGAAGCTCAGGGACAGAACCCAGGCCTGAGTTCAAGCCCCAGGACTGGCAAAAAAAAAAGAGAGAGAGAAGGACTGGGATGTAGGGCAGTGGCAAAGCACTTGCTAGCAAGTGCAACATCCTGGGTTCAATCCCCAATGCCAAAAAAGAAAAGGCAAAAAAAAGAAGTATGGTTTAAAAAAAAACATAAAAGCTGGGCGTTGGTGGCTTACGCCTGTACTCCTAGCTACTCAGAGATCTAAGGACTGCGGTTCAAAGCCAGCCCGGGCAGAGGAACAGCTCCCAGGCCAAGTTCAAGCCCCACGTCTGACAACGACAACAACAAAACCAAAAAACTCAGGGACAGTATCCAGGCCCTAAGTACAAGACTCACAAATTGCTGTACAAGGCAAGAAAAATAAAAGCAAAAAGCATAAACTCAGATAGGTAAAGTGCTACACACCTGTAATCCCAGTACTCCAGGAAACTGAAGCAGGAAAATTTGATAGTTTTGAGGTCCATCTGGACTATATAGTGAAACTTTTTTTTTTTTTAAAAAAAAAGCCGGGCGCCAGTGGCTCACACCTGCAATCCTAGCTACTCAGGAAGCTGAGATCTTAGGATCATGGTTCAAAGCCAGCCCTGGCAGGAAAGCCCGTGAGACTCTATCTCCTATTAACCACCCAAAAACCGGAAGTGGTGCTGTGGCTCAAGTGGTAGAGTGCTCACCTTGAGCTGAAGAACCAGGCCTAGAGTTCAAGCCCCACAAACAACAACAACAACAAAGTAAAGCTGGGTGCTAATGGCTCATGTTGTAATCCTAGCTACTCAGCAGGCTGAGACTAGGAAGATATTGATTTGGAACCAGCCCAGGTTAAAAAGACTCTAGCTTCAATTAATCAGTAACATCCTGAACTGGAGGCATGACTCAAGTGGAAGACATGACCAAGAAAGCTGAAACAAATGCACAAGGAATTTAAGCCAATATCTATCTCTCTCACATACACCTGGGCACAAGGAATTGAAGCCAATACCACACACCCACACCCACACTGAGGTTTGATTCAAATGGTAGAGTACCTGTCTAACAAAGGTAAAGGCCTGAGATCAAACCCTCATTCTGCCAAAGGAAAAAACAAACAAACCAAAAACAAAACCTTCTAAGTATGGCGGGCAAACTATAGTCTATGTAGTAAATTCTGTGTAGCCAGCAACCAGTTTAAATAACAGTAACCAGTTTACTGCAACACAATTGAATCCATTTGTTTACCAAACTATGACTAATCCCACATTATATGGAAGAGTTGTGTGGTTTAAATAATAGCCAATCGTCCCATAAAGCCTAAAATTATTATAATCAGTCTTTCACAGAAAATGTCTGCTTAACTATTTGGCAGGGACAGCGGAGGGGAGTAGGGCCAGGTGGTGGTAAGTACTGGGGCTTGAACTCAGAGCTTGCAATGTGCTAGACAGTTGCTTCTTCATCCCTAACCCTCTTTTAAGTATAACAGGCAGGGAATCCAAAGCAACAAAATGTACAAAAAAAAAGGAAAACAAACAAACAAACAAAAGGATGAAAAGAAACTAACCTGGCTAACTCCAAATAAGATGACCAATAACCAGAGTAACAAAGGAGAAGTACTGAAAAGTATAACTTTGATAAAGAGACCAGGAATAAAAATCTTAGCAATGGCAGAGAAAAATATTTGCAGCTAAATCCCATTTACGCATAAATTCAGGAACATTTCTATTACAGTGAATTAAGGTATGCAATAAAATTAATTTAGCAATGGAGGGAAAGACTGAACTACAGGACCAGTGAAAACAATCACTAAGTTACTTTAGAAGTTAAGATAAGAGAACAGCATAAAGCATGTACCTTGACAAGGTCACCAAAAGAAAAATAAAAGATGGAGGGATAACAAGAAGTATGAGTGCTAACTTGTTTTTGGTCAGTCATGGGACTTGAACTCAGGGCCTGGACATAGTCACTGAGCTTTTGTGCTCAAGGCTACAATTCTACTACTTTGAGACACAGTTTCACTTCTGGTTTTTTGGTGGCTGATTGGAGATAAGAGTCTCACAGACTTTCTTGCTCAGGCTGGCTTTGAACCCCGATCCTTAGATTTCAGCCTCCTGGGTAGCTAGAATTATAGGAGTAAACCACCAGCACCAAAAGAGTGCTGATTTATCATTTCAACAGAAAGTTTACCAATGATGATTGAAAATGAAAGCTGTTTAAAAAGAATAAACTAAGGGGCCAGAAAGATGGCTCAGTGGTAGAGTGCTTGCCTTGTATACATGAGGCCCTGGGTTCAATTCCTTTCCTTAGCATCACATAAGCAAAAAAGCTGGAAGTGGCACTGTGCTCAATTGGTAGAGCGCTAGCCTTGAGCTGAAGAGCTAACAGGCCCAGAATTCAGGCCCCACAAACAACAAAACACACACACACTTCTAATTGCTTAATGTCACACACACACACACACTTCTAACTGCTTAATGTCACACACACACACACACACACTTCTAACTGCTTAATGTCAGTCATTGGTTTTTTTGGTGGTACTGGAGTTCGAACTCGCTTTGTGCTGGCTAGGTTGGTTCTCCACAACATGAGCCACACCTCAAGCTCATTTTTTTGCTGGTTATTTTGGAGATATAGTCTTTCAGAACTTCCTGCTCAGGCTCATCTCTAATAGATCTAGCCTCATTACTAGCTTGAACTACAGATATAAACTACCAGCACCTGGCTTTTTAAAAATCTTAAAATTATCTTCAAGAAACTAATTCTTCCTGAAAGAATCATCTATACTGTCTTCATTTTGTATTCCTAACATTAGGAATCTTCCATTATGATTTCAGTGTTTTTTTGTTGTTGTTGTTGTTGTTTTTGGGGGGGGTCAGTTGTGGGGCTTTAACTTGGCCTGGGTGCTGTCCCTGAGCTCTTCAGTTGAAGGTAAGCACTCTACTTCTTGAGCCTCAGTGCCCCTTCTGGTTTTCTGGTGGTTACTTGTAGAGTCTCACAGCCTTTCCTGCCTAGGCTGACTCTGAACCACAATCCTCAGATCTCAGCTTCCTGGGTAGCTAGGATTACAGGTGTGAGCCACCGGTGTTGGTTTCAGTGGCTTTTTTTCCTAGGTAATTTTTTATAATTTAATACATATGAAGTTTTTTTTGTTGTTGTTGCTGGTTGTGGGGCTTGAACTCTGGGCCTGGGTGCTGTCCCTCAGCTCTTCAGCTCAAGGTGAGCACTCTACCGCTTGAGCTATAATGCCACTTCCCGTTTTCTAGTGGTTTATTGGAGATAAGAGTCTCATAGAGCCGGGTGCTGGTGGCTCACGCCTGTAATCCTAGCTACTCAGGAGGCTGAGATCTGAGGATCGAGGTTCAAAGCCAGCCCGGGCAGGAGAGACCGTGAGACTCCTATCTCCAATAAACCACCAGAAAACCGGAAGTGGCGCTGTAGCTCAAGTGGTAGAGCGCTCGCCTTGAGCTGAAGAGCTGAGGGACAATGCCCAGGCCCAGAGTTCAAGCCCCACGACCGAGAAAAAAAAAAAAAAGAGTCTCATAGACTTTCCTGCCTGGGATGGCTCTGAACCATGAACCTCAGATAGCCTCCTGAGTAACTAGAATTACAGGTGTGAGCTATAGCTAATAAGTTCTCATTTACAAAAATAAATTTCTTTTATGTACAAAAAAATCATAAAATTATGTCCATTTGCTAGAACTTGCTATGTAACCCAGAATGGGTCTAAACTCTTGATCATCCTGACATTATCTTTCTGAGTTTTGGATTATAGACTTGTACTAATACGCCTGGTTTTATTGTTTTTTCATTTTAAGAGATAGGCTTAGCTAGGTGCCAGTGGCTCATACCTGTAATCCTAGCTACTCAGGAGGCTGAGATCTGAGGATTGCAGTTGGAAGCCAGCCCAGAAAGGAAAGTTTGTGAGACTTGTATCTCTAATAAACTACTCAGAAAAAGCTGGAAGAACCTTACTCATGTAATGTAACTCCTCTGTAAGCATCTTTACAATAAAATCAAATAAAGTAAGCTGGAAGAGGTGCTGTGGCTCAAGTGGTAAAGGGCTGGCCTTGAGCCAAAGAAACTCAGGGAAAACACCCAGGCCCAAAGTTCAATCCCTAGGACAAGCAAAAAAAAAAAAAAAAAGAACAATAGCTCTTTACATTTTATTTTGCTTTACCATTATAGTACCCAGCAGCCAGGTGGTGGTGGGGCCTGGTAGGCATCCAGGCCAGGCTAAGGCACTGACCACACTCAGATGGGTCTGAAGCTTGCATAGACCCCACTTGAAGGGTTGCTACACACTGCACCTGCAAGGACAGAAGAGCTGGGACTAGGGTTAGGAATCCTAGTTGTTGGGAACAAAGGTTCAAGTCCGTGTTTAATCCGGCAGGTGGGGACATATTTTCTAAGTACAAGACAACTCAGTGTAGCATTTGTAGGCAAGGCTCTAAGAGTAGAGCCTCAGCTAAGGCAGCAGGTTCCTTACTCACCTTATAGATAGCAGGCCTCATTGAATCTGTAAGGGAAAAAGAGCAGTAGCTGATTGGTTTTGATTAGAGGCTTGAGATCCTTGCTAGGCCTTATTCTGAGGTTAAAGCCTCACACATAGACAACTTTCCCTCATCCTTTTTTTTTTTTTTTCCAGCCCTGGGGCTTGAACTCAAGGCCTGGGCACTGTCCCTGAGCTTCTTTTGCTCAAGGTTAGCACTCTACCACTTGACCCACACTGCCATTTGTGGCTTTTTCTGTTTACGTGGTACTGAGGAATCAAACTCATGCATGCTAGTCCAAGCACTTTACCACTAAATCGCATTCCCAGCCCCACCTCATCCTTTCTTGAGAAAGCCTTTATCTTTCTACCATCAAATTTCTTTTCTTTCTTTTGGTCGGTTGGGGGGCCTGAGCTCTGGGCCTGGGTGGTCCTTCAGTCTACAGCTCAAGGCTAGTGCTCTACCAATTGAGCCACAGTGCCACTTCTGGCTTTTTCTGCTTATGTGCTGCTGAGGAATTGAACATAGGGCCTCATGCATACAAGGCAAGCACTCTACCACTAAGCCACCTTCTTGGCCCCTCCACCATCAAATCTCTGACTCACAATCTATCTGTCCCCATCTTCTTCTGTTATACCTGATACTTCCTTTGCTCCTGTCAGAATGGCTAATCCCTTGACCCTACTCTCTTCTGTTTCTAGAACTTTGCTCATTTGTTCATTCCTCCTTTCTCCTGCATTATACACTTGCTCTTTCCCTGGTGGATCATTTTCCTATTTCCAGGTAAGCATGTCCTATTGTCTCCTCTACAAATAAGCACAACTAAAAGAACTTTTTTCCTTCAATCAATCCAGCTACCACCCAAACTTTCTGAAAGAATCATCATTCTTTACTTCCTTACTACCTATTCCCTCTTTAACCCTCTTCTCCACCAGACCACCATATACAGGACTTCCCAGGGCTTATGCGCAGATGCTTTCCTCATTAAATACTCAATAGTGTTAAAAACAAATACATTCAACACATAGAAGCTGCCTTTCCCTGGCCTTTCCCTCATCTTGCTCATCTGAACTCTAATTTTCTCCCTGTACTGACAATATTTTGTGGTCTGTGTATATGCATATTGGTATAGGGTGAAGGGTCTGACATACAAATTGGGAGCTGGGCACTGGTGGCTCATGCCTGTAATCCTAGCTACTCAGGAGGCTGAGATCTGAGTTCGAAGGCAGCCTGGGCAGGAAAGTCCTTGAGACTCTTATTTCCAATTAACCCATAGAAAACTAGAAGTGGCTTGCAGCTCAATGGTAGAGTGCTAGCCTTGAGCAAAAGAACTCAGGGACAGCACCCAGACCCTGAGTTCAAGCCCACACCCAACAGGGAGAATTCACCTTTGTTGGTCTTAGCTCATAGTAGCTCTTCATAGAGCCAATTAATCAGGACAGCAATAAAGGCAAGGGGCTAACCAGGATAATAAGGAAGGGGAAAATAAAAACTAAAGAGCTACAAGAGTACAGTTATAATCCTGTAAGTAAAAGTCCAAACTCAAAAGCAAATGTGGTCACAATATGGGTGTGGGTATGACTAAGGCTCTGTGCTACAGAGAAGTTTCAGAGGAGGCAAGCTTCGCACCCATGACTGCAGTCCTGTTTGCTTGCTCTGCTCCTCACCTAGGGACTGCTGAGCTAGCAGGGCCTCAGGATGTGGCAGACTGAACAGCAGCACTTTTCCATCTGAGCAGGCAAGAGCCAAAAGACCCAGCCGGGGCAGGTGAGGAGCCTAGAGAGAGAGAGAGAAAGAGAGAGAAAGAAATCAGGCCCATGGCTGAGGCTTGCTCCCTATAGGTGCTTCTCAGAAAACAAGGTGCTAATCCCTAAAAACATGATATGGAGTTGCTGGAAAATCTCTATCCACCACAATCCAGCCTTCCTGCCTCCAATGCTGAGAACTCCCAGGGCCATCCCATCGTCAACGGAAGTACCTTCCGAGAGGTTTCCGGAAGCTCCCATGCTCCACTGGGGCAGAACTTGAGGTCCCAGATACAGCCATTGTCACAAGCAATCCCATAGACAAAGTGAGCCCTATTGTCAGGACTGGAGAGAGAAAGCATGTGGGGACAGTGGGTAGGAAGAGCTGGCTAGGGCTACTGGAGATCGACTCTCCTTGTCTCAGCCCAATCCAAGCCTTCCCCCATCCTCTCTACCTCACCCATCTACCCATGGCAGTGTCCCAACCCCACCTCACCAGCTTTCTTGCTGTAATGTCCCAAGGCCCCACAACTGCAGCAGCCCAGGGCCTGAGTGAAGTCGGCTCAGTGGATGTGTCTCATTCATGTCAGGGCTGGAGAAAAGGGCCACATACTGCGAGGCTGCTGATCCCTCTGGCACTGGACACCAGTCCAGAGCCCAGAGTGGTCCCCCTGTGAAGAAGGATACATCCCAGCGCTCTGGATGTGCTGAGATCGAACTAAACCTGGAGAGAAGTCAAAAACATTAGTAAAAGATTAGGATGGAATGGGAGCTCCAGTGGAGCAGATATGATCTGGCTTAAGCAAGGGCCTGAAAAACCAAGTCTCCAGGTGAGAGCATTTGTACCTCCTTCCCTTCCCTCTGCCCTTTGCTTCCCTATGTCTTCCTAGCTCCAGTTCATCATCAAAAATAGGCTTTTTTTTTGGTTGGTCATGGGGCTTGAACTCTGGGCTTGGGTGCTGTCCCCCAGCTTTCCAGCTCAAGGTAAGCACTCTACCACTTGAGCTACAGCGTCACTTTCCATTTTCTGGTGGTTTATTGGAGATAAAAAGTCTCACAGAGGGGCTGGGAAGGTAGCTCAGTGGTAGAACGCTTGCCTTGCATGCATGAGGCCCTGGGTTCGATTCCTCAGCACTACATAAGCAAAAAAGAAAAAAGCCAGACGTGGTGCTGTGGCTCAAGTGGTAGAGTGCTAGCCTTGAGCTGAAGAGCTGAGGAACAGTGCCCAGGCCCAGAGTTCAGGGCCCACGACTGGACCCAAAAAACAAAAAGTCTCACAGACTTTCCTGTCCAGGCTGGCTCTGAACCGCTCTCCTCAGATCTCAGCCTCCTGAGTAGGTAGGATTATAAGCATGAGCCCCGCTTAAAAATAGAAGGCATTTGCTTGGCATTGGTGGCTCACATCTATAATCCTAGCTATTCAGGAGGCTGAGATCTAAGGATTGTGGTTCAGTCAGCCCAGGCAGGAAAGTTCATGAGACTTATCTCCAGAAAACCAGAAGTAGCGCTGTGGCTCAAAGTGGTAGAACATCAGTAAAAAGAACTCAGGGACAGCACCTAAACCCTGAGTTCAAGCCCCACAACCAACAACAACAACAAAAGATAGGTTTTTAATTTGCAATTATTACATCATTCTTTCCAGGGCTGAGTACATTGTTATGTAAACTGGTTTGACCCCCAAGTCTTCCTAGTTTCCCTAAACTTCCCGTAGAGCTGAGCACTGAAAACTAGAAAGAAGTAACTTGTGTCAAGTGGGAAACTTGTCCTTAGAATCAATAGGCCCAGTATCAGAACATGGCTAATTTGTCATCCTCTTCAACATTCATTTTCCTGTCACCTAGAATCAGAAAAAAAAGCTTAGTGGCAATCTTCACCTGTTTATGCGGTAGAGTGTGCCATCCTCAGGAAGTCCTTCACGTTGTACAGAAAACAATGGAGACTTCTCTTCCTGGGGCAGGTAAGGAGCTGCCTCTCTGGAAGAAAGCAAAGTGAACAGCCTGATTTTGGAAGTCTCACCCATTCCAGGATGCCTACTATGTATCTATAGTCCTATGTCGCTCTTCTGCCACCTAGCCTCAGCTTCAGGGATACCCTTCAACTTACAGCTCAGATAGCAATTGCCACTTCCAGGCTACAGGAATCCATTCAGCAAACTCCCAGAACGAATGTTGCTGTTCTCGGCTAGAGAGACAAAAGAAGCATCAGTGAAGAAGCAGAGATTTTGCAGCTGTGCTGTCCAATTTAACTTTCTGTAAGGGTAGATGATCTATCTGTGGTGTGTGCTATCCAGTATACCAATACTTGACCAATGTGGCCAGTACAACTGACAACCAGAACTTATCATATTTCATTCATATTAAGAGTTGTTTAATTAGTATTACTTAAGTTTGAACTCAAGATCCCACTCTTGCCACATAGGTGCTCTACTGCTTGAACCATGTCCCCAGACTCTATACTTCATTCTAAGGAGTTCTTGCTTTTGTAGCATTCATTTATGAATGGATGTCATCACCATGCTCCACCCATGAGCACTTCACTTTCTAGATTGCCCTGCATTCCTCCACTGCTCCTTTCCCACCAGCCCCAAAGTCTCACAGGTCTTTGGTGAGATGGAGGCACTTCCAAACAGGAGCCATGATGTAATTGGGTAAGCCATTGGGAGCCAAGCCTCGACAGTGTGACTTCTGCTTCTGAGAATCAAATCAGAGAAAAAGTAAGGGAATGAGCTTTCCTTCCTAACTTTTACTTTCTTTGGCATTGTTTACCTTCCCTGCCAGTACTGCCAAAAAATTTTTAAAGAAAATAACTCCCCAAACCAATTGTGATTTTTGGCTCCTGCCAGTTTTGCTCTTTTTGCCCTTTCTAGTTTCATCTCCCCTAGAATTGTACCTAGGCCTTATGTTCCAACCACAATTTATTTTATCATTATTCTATGAAACAAGCAGTTAATCATCTGGCCTCTCTTTGTTCCTGGTATCCTGGTCTAACAATGACTTCACTGAAACTTTATCAGGCATAATTTTGTTCACGATTATTTTTCCTAGTACAGAACAATCAATTATTGATTACTCTTGTTTTTTTTTGGTTGGTCATGGGGCCTGAACTCTGGGCCTGGGCGCTGCCCCTCACCTCTTCAGCTCAAGGCTAGCGTTCTACCACTTGAGCCACAGCACCACTTCCAGCTTTTTCTGCTTATGTGGTGCTGAGGAATCAAACCCAGGACCTCATACATGCAAGGCAAGCACTCTACCACTGAGCCACCTTCCCAGCCCTGATTACTCTTGTTTACTAGACCTTTCCCCTATAATCATCTTCCATGATTAGTATATTCAATTATAAATGTAAATAACCCTGTTTATTATACACTTCCCCTATAATCTCTCTAACATCTCAATGTTTTTGAAGTCATTCCTTTAAAAAGTTATAAACAAAAACAAAACTGAGGCAAAGCTCAACATGGGGCTGACCCCCAAGATCATTATCTCCCCATCTACTTTCTTGTGCATTCTCATTACCCCTGACGCGGGTCCTCGTGTGGTGCTTCGGGGTGCTGCAGGTTCGGGATCAGAAAAGCTCTCAGTTGGGCCTTCACTTTCTTCTTCTTCTTCAGCCTCAACCTTGAGAACAAAGCCTTCACCCTGCACAGCAGCATCCTCGTCTCCACCTTGGCAGACTGCCTGCTGCCGGATCTTCTTCGGTTTGGTGGGGCTGCTCACCTTGGGACTCTTAGGAGGACAAGACACCGGAGTAGGAAGAGCTGTGGAGAGCTCCTCAGCAGCCACTTCCTGAAGATACAGAAGTGCCCTGTGGGGTAGGAAGAATCAGCACTATCCTCACAAACCTTTACCTGAGAGCCTACTTCCCCAGACTTCACCGATTCCCAACTCACTGGATCCTCCCAGGAACCCTGGGAAGTAGCCATTAAATTCCCCTTCCTCCTTAACAGATGAAAAGTTAAATGACGTGGCTTAGCCAAGTCTGATAACAAAATCTAGGTCTTGCAACTCCAAAGCCAATGCACTTTTCATTCTACCACATTAAAGAACATAAAGGGCAAGGGAAATGAAAGGAAAGGCACATAAATACTGAAATATACTGGGTGGTAAAATAGCAATGAAGACCTGGGGGAAGTCTGCGAAAAATGTGATGGAGAGCCGGGTGTTGTAGTGCACTCCTGTAATCCCAGCACTCGGGAGGCTGAGGCTGGAGGATCGCGAGTTCCAGGCCAGCCTGGTCTATTACATAGCGAGACCCTGTCTCAAAACAAACAAAAACAAACAAAAAATGTGATGGAATATGAGGTGCAGAAAGAAGCCTCTTAGATACAAAAAGTTAGCAACACATACCATAAAAGTGGCTAAGGTGAGAGCTAAAGGAGTGCCCGTGATCCCACAACCAGACATCCCCCCAGCTTACCTGACACCTTGTAGAGTCTTCCCATCTCTCCGTATCTGCTCCACCCTCATCCCCTCACCTCCACCCCCTCCACCAGGCCATGCCCCACAATCCTTACACTTGGGCAGCCCTTCGGCGGGGTCGTTCCTCAGGAGAGGTAAAGTCCTCAGGGGGCCTCTTTGGATGTGGAGACTCTGGCTGCTCTAGACCTTTGGACAACTTCAGGAGTAGCAGGTCTCCCTTAGATTTTTGACTTCGTTTCTTAGGCACAGGGGCAGATAGAGGGTTGGACTGATCTAAGAGAGCAGGAACCAGAGGGGTGGATGGAGCTTTACGCTGTTGGGGCCTTCTGGGACCTTTTGGTGTCCCACTACCTCTCTTCCGGGAAGACTGTGAAGCCCTAGGCTTTGAGATCTTTGATAGCTCCGAAGAAAGATCTGTAGAAAAGAATATGGTCTGTAAGATGCGAATGGAGCACAAACCTCTTTGGAATAGATTATATACCCAGGATTATAAGATCCTACAGCTGGGGGCTGGTGGCTCATGCCTATAATCCTAGCTACTCAGGAGGCTGAGATCTGAGGATCATGGTTCAAAGCCAGCCCAGGGTGAGAATTTGTTGAGATTTTTTTTTGATCCAGTCGTGGGGCCTGAACTCTGGGCCTGGGCACTGTCCCTCAGCTCATCAGCTCAAGGCTAGCGCTCTACCACTTGAGCCACAGCGCTACTTCTGGCTTTTTTCTTTTTGCTTATGTGGTGCTGAGGAATCGAACCCAGGGCCTCATGCATGCAAGGCAAGCGCTCTACCACTGAGCCACCTTCCCAGCCCAAGTGAGACTCTTATCTCCAATAAACCACTGGAAAACAGAAGTGGTGCTGTGGCGCTGTGGCTCAAGCGCTAGAGTGCTCGCCTTAAGCTGAAGAGTGCAGGGATAGCGCCCAAGCCCAGAGTTCAAGCCCCACAACTGACAAAAAAAAAAAAAAAAAACTCATACTTCTCTTTCATCTTAAACTATGGGGAGCCAAAAAGAGCAGGGAAATAATCAACAAACCCCAGAGGTACCCACCTTGATGTTCCAGTCTGGAAAGGCTTTCCTGGTCTGGAGGGAAAAGCCTCTTATCAGGAGAACCCTCAAATCCAGTCAAAGGAGTAGGCAGTGACATCTCTATGGAAGCCTCCACACTGGTTGCTTCTGAGGAGCCCTTGATATCAAGCTGGTTTAGCACATCTTGTCCAGGAGCATCTACCACAGTCATGTTCCCCACGGGGCCGGCCTCCCCCAGGGCAACATAGCCGACCCCGCAGGTATCCATCAGCACCCCCCAAAATGGCTGTCCTGTATGAAGACATATCAATGTGAAAGGCAGAGGATAATTGTACAGGCTCAGATTTTTCTCTTTTCCTTATCTTTTATCACCACACAATTAGAAGCCCAAAATCTTCAATCATTCACTCACTCAGACTAATTACTCGGCACCTTCTATGTCAATCACTGTTCTAAGATCTGGTGTAACCACAGAAGACAGACTAGGAACTTACGTTCTAGTGAAGTGAACAAGAAACAAATAAATATGCTGCTATCAATTAAATGACTACTATGTGCCAAGCACAATACTACACATATTTAACATTCACATATTTTCTTGTATGGATATTTCAATAAATGAACAATTATTTAACTCCTCTTCCTGAAAGACAGTAAAGTAAGTCACATATATATCCTACCACCACCACTTCCTCCAAAAAAAAAAGGAGAGAAAAACTATGCACCTAGGGAACAGTAACAACTGGCAAAAATAGACTTTAAATAATTGCCAAGCTTGGTGTGGTGATACAGACTAGTCCAAGCTACTAGAAAAGTTGAAGGAGAACTACTGAGCCCAGGAGTTTGTTAAAGCCCAGCTTTAGCAATATAGCATACCTTGGGTAATAGTAAAATGTAAAAAATGTAATATGGTATAATAAATATAATTTCATGAATAACTAGGTACTTTAAAACTTACCAAACTGAAGGAGATTTAACACTTATTTCTGTAAATACAAGTCACAGGCTCAAAAATAATTGTAGCTAGACACCAGTGGCTCATGTTTGCTATCCTAGCTCAAGAGGCTGAGACGTAGAGGATCATAGTTCAAAGCCAGCCTAGGCAGAAAAGTCCAAGAGACTTCATCTCCAATTAAACAGCAAAAAGCCAGGATGGAGGAGTGGCTCAAGTTAGAAGAGTTCCAACTATAGGTAAGAAAGCCAAGCGAGCACAGGCTCTAAATTCAAGCTCTGGTAATAAAGAAGTAATGAAAGAAGTTCTCTGGAGCCCAGATATCAATCTTAACTTGAAAGAATGGGAGGAGATATCAGATAGGCCATGAAACAAAGACATCCTATTATATTAAGGGACTTTTGGCTGAGCTTGGTGGTATGCATCTGTTATCCTAGCCATGGATGAAGCAAAATGGCTAGCCTTAAGGATGCATGCCTGTCATTCCCAGACACACAGGCTGACCTCAGTCCAAGTCAGCCCTGGCATTAGCGAAACCCTGTCCCCAAAATATCCAAGACAAAAATGGTGAGCACTTTCCTAACAAACACCAGGCCCTGAATTCAATCCCCAGTTACCATCAAAAACAAAACAACAACAACAAAAAAAAAAACGCACTGGTGGCTCATGCCTGTAATCCTACTACTCAGGAAGTTGAGATCTGGGGATCATGGTTTGAAGCCAGCCTATGTAGGAAAGTCTACAAGACTCATCCCCAATAAACTACCCCCCAAAAAGCTAATGGAGCTCTGGCTCAAATGGTAGAGTGCTAGCCTTGAGCAAAAGCTCAGGGACAGTGCCTAGGCCCTATGTTCAAGCCAGGACAGGCACACACATGCGCGTGCACACTCACACGAAGAAGAAGAAGAAGAAGAAGAAGAAGAAGAAGAAGAAGAAGAAGAAGAAGAAGAAGAAGAAG